TCCATATGGTCAGAAGTTTAACTTCTAAACTTCCTTCGTGTACCTCTCTCTCTCTCTCTCTTCATGGGCCAAGTTCAATCCATGCCCTGACCGTGCGCATGTTGCCTTGGTACGCATCGCATCTCACCAAAGCACCATCTCTATCCTGTGGCATCAATCCCAACTTGTGACACACAAACCCAAAGGGCGCCACGGGCAAAGTGCAAGTTTGGAGCTAGTTTCTAGGGAGTTCAGAAAGCAACGTTTGGAACCATGGGCTGCCGGCCGCGGGCCCGATCCGTCTTCGCTGCCATGGTGTTTTGGTGCTGCGACACGGTTTTGGTGGCTGCGGCACGCTAGTTTCCTCAGAAAGCAACAAGATCCGTCCTTCGCTGCCAACACGGGCAAGCTGGCAGGTGGCCGATGAAGGGCGGGCAAAGTCCAAGTTTGGAGCTAGTTTCTAGGGAGTTCAGAAAGCAACGTTTGGAACCATGGGCTGCCGGCCGCGGGCCCGATCCGTCCTTCGCTGCCATGGTGTTTTGGTGCTGCGACACGGTCCTCCAAGAGAACACGGGCAAGCTGGCAGGTGGCCGATGAAGGGCGGGCAAAGTCCAAGTTTGGAGCTAGTTTCTAGGGAGTTCAGAAAGCAACGTTTGGAACCATGGGCTGCCGGCCGCGGGCCCGATCCGTCCTTCGCTGCCATGGTGTTTTGGTGCTGCGACACGGTCCTCCAAGAGAACACGGGCAAGCTGGCAGGTGGCCGATGAAGGGCGGGCAAAGTCCAAGTTTGGAGCTAGTTTCTAGGGAGTTCAGAAAGCAACGTTTGGAACCATGGGCTGCCGGCCGCGGGCCCGATCCGTCCTTCGCTGCCATGGTGTTTTGGTGCTGCGACACGGTCCGCCAAGAGAACACAAGCAAGCTGGCAGGTGGCCGATGAAGGGCGGGCAAAGTCCAAGTTTGGAGCTAGTTTCTAGGGAGTTCAAGAAGCAACGTTTGGAACCATTGGCTGCCGGCCGCGGTCCCGATCCGTCTTCGCTGTCATGGTGTTTTGGTGCTGCGACACGGTCCTCCAAGAGAACACGGGCAAGCTGGCAGGTGGCTGATGAAGGGCGGGCAAAGTCCAAGTTTGGAGCTAGTTTCTAGGGAGTTCAGAAAGCAACGTTTGGAACCATGGGCTGCCGACCGCGGGCCCGATCCGTCCTTCGCTGCCATGGTGTTTTGGTGCTGCGCCTCCAAGAGGCGGGCAAAGTCTCGAAGAGAACACGGGCAAGCTGGCAGGTGGCCGATGAAGGGCGGGCAAAGTCCAAGTTTGGAGCTAGTTTCTAGGGAGTTGAGAAAGCAACGTTTGGCACCATGGGCCGCCGCCCGCGGGCCCGATCCCTCCTTCGCTGTCATGGTGTTTTGGTGCGGTCCTTCGAGAGGACACGGGCAAGCTGGCAGTTGGCCGAAGCGCGGGCGAAGTCCAAGTTTGGCTGCGACAGGGTCCTCTCACCGCAGCCGGGCAGGACGAAAGTCAGCTGCAAGAGGACACTAGCAAGCTGGCAGGTGGCAGAGCAGAAGGGCGGGTAAAGTCCAAGTTTGTAGCTAGTAAGGGCCCCACAGAAAAACATGAAAAAACAGAGCATATAGCTTGGTCAGTCTAGCAACCCAGCTAGGATTCATGCGATTTTCACCCCTGGCTGGGCGGCCACGAAGACTGGCACGCGAACCTGAGCCGGGAACACATTACATGGGGTGGAGCATGGTGGAGCTTGGCGGAACAAACCTGCTATCATTCTAAAATAGAATATGTTTAGATTAGATGCCTAAAGGATATCATAGAATATTGATGTACATATACATATATATATATATAATCAACATTAATTAAATATATACAATACATATAGGTCACAGATTGCCTGGATGTACACATGCTAACAGGCGGCAGCATGGTGTCATATCACATTCTGAACGTATTTCATCGCTTCAACGCTTCAACGGATGCGACCAACGCTCTGAGCACCTCACCAACTCCATTGCGACACCCCCTGCGGATCCCTGCGGACACGAACCTTGTCGAGCCTAGTATGTTTTGGTATGTTTGGGCTGTTTTGGTATGTTTTGGTTCCTTGAGTCGTGTGTTCGACCATGTTCCACTGACTCGCAGCGTGGACCTGACGGACCATGGTCAAAACTATCACTAGACTCAGGCATCTTAGGAAAAAAGTCAATAGGCCACGTTTCAGCAGCAAAATGCATGCAAGCGCATTCGTCTTCCACCCCCACATTGCTGGGAATCTGCATGGCAAGCCTGGCAAGCTACATACGCTACGCCGCTACGCTTTTTTCCTGCTATTGTCTCGGCGAAGGTCGTGCTGCAAAGTTGGGCAAATTTGGATTGGTGTAGAACGGCCCGGGCTGCAGCACTGTGGGCACACTGCGTACTTCCGACTGCCCAGCTCCAGGAGAGACGATTCGAGCAGTGCTGGCAGCAGATGGCATAGAGCGTGTCAAACTCTGACTGGTTCGGACATCCAAAGATGGCAAAGTTGGAAGTGACTGCACTTGGCTTGGCGGAGATTGGCTCGGACTTCGACTCGCATCTGCGTAGCCTGGTGGCAGGCTGTGCTGCGGCACAGCAGATCTCGGTGCTGCTGGGTTTCGGATCACAACGGTCTCCATGCTCAAGACCTCGGGGAGGGCACTTGATCATACTTTCTCCATCTTCATTCAAAAAGACTGCCAGCTCTTCGCATTGAGGCCAGTGCAATTGCCATAATGCATAGGATTGCCAGCATAGCCTCATTGCGAACAAACATATCAATCATCGTTAGGCATTGAATATCATTGAAGAGGCACGTGCTCCTACAACAAATCGCTCTTGGATCCACTACCCTTGGGCTCTGGCATCTCCACCTGGAATGGTACCTTGCAATTCACCAACTCTGGGTCCCGCATGGTCCCACTGGGTGCCCGACCGATACGACATTCTGGAGGGCTCATTTCTTCGAGCTTTGGCTTTGGCATTATCGACTTCTAATCCAACAACATGCATCAATCGAACAAATAGCACCAGATCGGACTGGAGTCTGACTCTCTCTCTCTCTCTCTCTCTCGCTCTCCATTGGCTTCAGACTGAAGTCAATAACTTCAAACTAGACGACGGATGGCCCGAGAGCGTAGAGGAGCAGGGTCTTCTCTTGTTAGTGTGGAGACACAATATTACAAACAATATATTAAAGATGTGTTATAGGCAGTCGAGAAGAGGAGTATTCAAGACAAAATAGCAGAAGTGCAAGACAATAGTTTGCATCGCAAACACTTTTACACACAGAAGCTTTTACACACAGACGCTTTTACACACAAAAGCTGTTACACACAGAAGCTTTTACACACAGAAGCTTTTACACACAAAAGCTTTCACACACAGAAGCTTTTACAGACAGACACTTTCACACACAGACCCTTTTACACACAGACGCGTGTACACACAAAAGCTTCTACACACAAACATCTTTACACCGAAACACTCCTACACACAAACCCGCACTTTTACACACAAACACTTTTACACACAAACACTTTTACACACAAACACTTTTACACACAGAAGCTTTTACACACAAACACTTTTACACAGATGCAATTTTACACACAAACACTTTTACACACAAACATCTTTACACCGAAACACTCCTACACACAAACCCGTTTACACACAAACACTTTTACACACAGAAGCTTTTACACACAAACACTTTTACACAGATGCAATTTTACACACAAACACTTTTACACACAAACATCTTTACACAGAAACACTCGTACAGACAAACCCGTTTACACACAAAGACTTTTACACACAGAAGGTTTTACACACAAACCCTTACACAGATGCACTTTTACACACAAACACTTTTACACACAAACATCTTTACACAGAAACACTCGTACACACAAACCCATTTACACACAAACACTTTTACACACAGAAGCTTTTACACACAAACACTTTTACACAGATGCTCCAGGACAAATAAAATCGCAATTTTACCTCAGTTTTCGCCGATCGACCCTCATTTTCGCGCGAAAGGGTTGCTCCGGGACACGTAAAATCACAATTTTACCTCAGTTTTTGGCGATCGAACCTCGTTTCGTGTGTAAGGGTTGCTCCGGGACAAGTAAAATCGCAATGTTTCCTCAGTTTTTGGCGATCGAACCTCGTTTCGTGCGTAAGGGTTGCTCCAGGGACTCCAGGACAAGTCCGGCACAAGTAAAATTGCAATTTTACCTCAGTTTTTGCGCATCGACCCTCATTTCGTGCGAAAGGGTTGCTCCAGGACAAGTAAAATCGCAATTTTACCTCAGTTTTTGACGATTGACCATCATTTCGTGCGAAAGGGTTGCTCCAAGACAAGTAAAATCGCAATTTTACATCAGTTTTTGACGATCGATCCTCATTTCGTGCGAAAGGGTTCACGTTTCGTGACTCCCCGCCGGCACCACCCTCGGCCTAAAGAGAGAAAGATAAAGCACCACCCTCGGCCTAAAGAGAGAAAGATAAAGAAGGCGAGAGAGAGAAAAGGGAGAGAGAAAGGAGAGAGAGAAAGGAGAGAGAGAAAGGAGAGAGGAAAGAGGAGAGAGAGTGAGAGAGAGAGAAGATGTGAAGATGAGAAGGTGTGAGAGAAGGTGTGAAGATGAGAAGGTGTGAAGATGAGAAGGTGTGAGAGAAGGTGTGAGAGAAGGTGTGAGAGAAGGTGTGAAGAGGAGCAGATGTGAAGAGGAGCAGATGTGAAGATGAGAAGGTGTGAAGATGAGAAGATGTGAAGATGAGCAGATGTGAAGATGAGAAGGTGTGAGAGAAGATGTGAAGATGAGAAGGTGTGAAGATGAGAAGGTGTGAAGATGAGAAGGTGTGAAGATGAGAAGATGAGATACAGACCCCCACTATTGGATGAACCCTGCGCTCAGACGCTCTCGGGAAAAATCGCACTCAATTGCTACATCTGGGCAGCTGCTGAGCTGGGAATCACGCAAATGTGAAGCGTTTCTCCAGGACCTAAAGGTGTATTGACAATGTAATCCATGAGTCCATGGATGTCCATCAGAAGAAGGTGACGCAAGCCAGACCAAAAGCGTGCCAAGCAATGCCAAGCAATGCTAAGTAGCATTTAGTCCCATTAATCTGTTTTTCCTTTCTGGATCCTGTTTTCCACCTTTTTTCCCTATGGTCTGCGTGAAATTGAAATTCTTTGGTGAAGGGCGAAATGCAACGAACTCTTGGGTTCATTCAAATCTATTGCACCAAGCTACAGTGTATCCTGGTTGCTGTCGCCACTTGCTGACCGTCCGCTCCATAAGCGCAAAAGCCCATCCTTGAGGAAAAACTTGCTCAGTGCCATGGGCAAAAGATTCAAAGACCAACCACTTTTCTTCAAACACTGCACTCAGATGTGCTGAGTTTCCCTGCGCTGCTGGGACATGGTGCAGAGTCAAGGCCAGCTGTTCTGACCTGCAAGTGGCAGCACAGGTTCGTAGCAAAGGTGCTAGTGGAAGTTCAAATATTCCACTGGGCGCAGCGGCGCGTGAAAACATCCTAAACTGGTCGGCGTGTAGCACTGTACATTTCGGCAAATAAAAATATGAAATGGACATAGACGATGGGGTTATGTCTTCATGAAAAATGGAACAAAACAGTGACAAAAACATGACAATGATGACGACCTCATCATGACTACAATGAAGACAAGCATGAAGGGAATTGAATCTCTAAAATTCAGATGATCAAAATTGAAAAAACAGAATGCCCAAGATTGACCCAAGATTGGCCATCACCTTTGGGGAAGACGTGGTTATCATAAACTCCACCTGCCTGCTGAAGCAAGAGAAACTTACACCCCTGCAAGCTCAGGCTACCCATGGTTTAATCAACACGCATGGCAATATTAGAGGCAATAAGCCATCGTTAATGCATAACACTTTTAACTTATATACAATAGAAAGATGTGTAGATAGGTAGATAGGAAGCTAGGTGAGTACGTAGATAAAAGTCAGATGGATAGATGGATAGATCGATAGTTAAATGAGTACACAAATAGATACATATATAGATACATAGATAATCACATATATATATATAAAAGATAATCATAGATATGTAAGATCTGTACATAGATTTTCGTGCTTTACTTTTATTTTATTTTCCTGCAACCTTGGCCGCAGCCGCTGCGATGCCAAATCCTGTCCTGCATCATACCACAGGATCACTTACCGCTGCATCGGCAACCACTGCATCCACGACGACCGTGGAAACAACAAATGTAAACCCACAACACCCCACAACCTACCGCAACTGGCAAAAGGTTTTACATGCATGTCTGAGCCAGTCAATATATACTGGGTTGGGTTGGCCACCTTTAAACTTTCTTCAACTGACTCCATGGCCATGGCACAGAAGTTCTGAGGCCTCACACCCCTCTTCACTGTGATAGTGTACCAGCCTGAGGTTCAAGCGAAAATGTTCTGACTCAGTCATCTGGCTGACATCTACAGAAGCAACTGTCCAAACGGACTGTTCTATGACTGATTCTATACTCTGAACCTCTCCATCAATTTTCACAAGTGTACGAGGTGCTCTAATTCAAGTGATGAAAGTACTGTTCAGAAAAGTCAAAAAGTGCTGTCCAACTTCGCATGTAAGATCTTGGTAAGATCTTGGCCCTCCAATCCTCCCAGGCCCCGAACCCTTTCACACCTCTGTACTCATCTGTGTTGCTGTGTTGCTGAGGCTGTGTTGCTAGAATTGGCCACCTCCACGGCACCTGAGGCTCCTTGCCATTTGTCAGTTAACCGGCACAATGTGCCATACCTCAGGGAAACATAGGGAAACTACCAGAAACTATCATGCAGCGTCTGTCATTCAGGTATGGCACGCGACATAGATACATGTATCATCCTGTATCTCAAGCCACAACTCTCCAAAAGCTGCTGGCAATAAATTGCGATTATTCACATGTATTCACTTTGGTCGAGGCTTCTCGTTTTGCGGGCCGAAAATGTCAAGCCGATGCTCCACTGCCTAAGCTGACCATAATGCAGATACCAGATACTGCATTCTTTCACCACCACACCTTCATCTAGTGGGGGAACTTCGTATTTGCACTCCATTGCGCTGCTGTACAATCAGCGCTGGACTCCACAATGTTTGCACTGGCGTCCCTGAGATTCTTGCTCCAGCCTGTAGCAAGCCAATGCCTCAAATCAGAGCACGTCCACGTATTTATAGACCAATGTTGTTAGCAAGTAGTTTGACGGGAAGAGTCACCTCCATCCCTTTCTCGGAACCAGGTGAAAGTTCCTTAAGTTCAACCTGTAGCATCCTATAGCTAGTTTTCTGCTAAGTACATGGCTAGCATGAGGAAATCGAGTGATTTTGTCCGTGGTTGTCAACCTCACAGCAACCAAACGAACATCACACAGCAAGCGCCCAGAAGTGCAAAAATGCTTTGCTGGCTGGGAGGAATGAAATTTTTGAATCAAATGCTCAAAACATGCAGAAATTCAACGGCGATGTTCGAAACTAGCGAGTCAGGTCCCAGCTGAAGCAAATGACCAATCTGGGCAAAAGTGCATCACTTGAGTCAAGCAGTGCAAAAGAAGATTGTGACGGCGCAGCCGAAAATGCATCACGTGAGTCAAACAGGACAAAAAAAAAACTGTGAGGGCTCAGTCAGCGATGCAAGATGAGGTCTGAAAGTGTTGTAACTCAATCGGTACAGCAATACGGCTATGCACTCTTTTGTTTTTCTGCACGCGTTCAAGGGTCTACTCCCGGGACATCTGCAAGAGGAAGATGGTAGCGAAGTTGACGGCAACGACAATGACACCAAAGATTAAGATCCTGTCTGCTACAGCCAATTGCTAATGCCACTCTCGAATGCAAATCCGGGAGCAAAGCCTGCAGCCAAGACGTGTCCCTCTCTCGTGGACTGATATCGTTTCACTTCTTGATGGTGAAGTTCCGATGGGTTGAGCCTGGCCAAGCTCTTCAGGAGGCTCGTCACCTTTGCCACCTCCGAGGCAGCGTGTGTCTCCCGTGTTTTCTTGGACCTCCCAGCAGCTTCGAAAAACTCGCCCTTGACCTGCGACTTTGCTAGCCAATGAAGGCGCCGTTCGCTGTCTGACGTCTGTTCTTCCCCGCACATGTTCAACCTAATCAACGCCGTTCCATCGGGGAAGTCCTCTTTCCGGTAGGAACGGATGCGCGAGAAGCGCATGAAGAACACTTCTGGGTATTGCGTGCATCCCACCTTCAGGATGTCACGCCCTGAGAACCGCAAAGTCAGGACGTGTATGACGTAGACGCGTCGCTCGTGATTCTTCCAAGGCTCTGAGAGACGAAGACTGTTCAGCAAGGCCTCCAGCAAGGAGATGGGCGGTCTTTGCTCCATGTGAGTCCAGCACGAAGTTGTCGCTCCACCTTAATTAGACTCAAGTGTCGGAAGTGGACCATGGTCTGTTCCTCCTCAGTCATTTGGAGCCACGCAGGTCTCGACACAGGGCTGGGCCTGCCGCGCACCGCTCAGGACGCTGATACATTGGCACGGCGCAGGCAAACGCACCGCCCCGTGCAAGAGACGTGAGCGTCATGTCTGGATCAGCGACTTATCTGAGAGACATAATGCTGCGTATATGGTGGCTGGTCGAAATGTCTTTTCCCAGAAGTGTGCAAAATTCGTAGATAGGTGGGGGCCCGCTACATAATTGTAATTGTGCATCATGCATCTTGCTATATCTTCTGAACTACAGAAAATCAAAGGGAGGAGAAGAAGGGCTTCATTTCGTTCAGAACGTTGCTAGCTCGAGGCATTTTCAACCGCTCTCGGATGAGGACGTGCTACTGCTGGATTCGTGTGACAAATTGTCTGTGTCTGGAAGCTCCACATCGTGAAGAAATGGGCCAGGGATGGTCTTGGCACATGTTCGCTAGCGCTTTGCTAGCGCGAAGCTAGCGCCACGCTAGCGCAAATACATGCACAACTTTCGGAAATATCTGTGACAAGGACTGGGGATCCTAGAAAAAATGCAATGACTGAACTTTTCAAGACTCAGAACGTGATTGAAGCACCTTGCACCCCAAGCAATTCCACAATCAATGCCAAGCCAAATATACAAAACAACTACGTCCTAGGAATACTAAAACCAAATAATGCAAGCGCGATGCTAGCGCAAATCTAGCGCCTAGGTGCAGAAATGCAGTGTTTAGGTGGGGGCCCGCTATATAACGAATACTAAAAACCTATTGTCGGCAATTAATTTCGCAACTTCATTTAAATTTCCTTACTGGGGATTTTTGACCGGATCCCATATACATATCAACGCATATCAAGATATATAAAAGATCATGTGTATATTAAACACTGCAGCAGTTTGACCTGGCCAGCTGTGCCAGCTCCTCCTAGGAAAGGGTTTCCAGCCATTTGCTGCTCATCACAGACGAACCCGTCCCTCTCGAACGACAGCGTCACTGCGTCCAACGGGAATGGCCAATAATCAAGGAATGCACGCCTCACTGTCATCCAGTCAGCCAGCGTATACCGCACGTTGCGGTCAGCTTTCTTTTTGGCCGCCACCTTACCTTGGCCGTGGCCTGATGATGGACGGCACTTTTGTCAGTTTGCTTGGGGTTGGCACCACCATGCGTCTGCCCGCATTGCCACATGCAGTAGTATAGTACTTGCAGCAACTTCCACACATTTCCATCACCTGAGCCCTCCTCGTAGATCTTCACGTGCGTTGAAAAAATATGCTGCCACTTGACTCATCTGATGCATGAAACTCTGATGAGGTGTGACGCCACCCGACTCATCTGACGCATGAAACTCTAGTGAGGTGTGATGGAAAAAGCCACCACTCGACTCATCTGATGCATGAAACTCTTGTGAGGTGTCACGAAAAGGAGGCAATGCATCCAAGTTGCTGGCACCGGCGCTGCGTCCTTCTCATCCAACTCGTCCTTGACCTGCACCTCACCGAGATCCGGCGACGGCACGCCCTCATCTCTGGCCGGTTGGCCTGCAGCTCTTGGTGCAAATGCCGCCTCATAATGCTGTGTCTCCAACGGCTCTGGCTGCATTTATCCGACCCGTCTTTTCCATTCATCCTTCTCTTGTTCCAGAAGCTGCATCCCCTGATTCACCTGTTCCAGCGACCTTTCGGCCACCTGTTGCTTGGCAGAAGCGATCCCGTTCCTAACGGCCAAGTTGACTTGAGCTTCCCTGAGTTCGTCTTGCAAACTCATCATGCGCAAAAGAACTTCCGGTGGAACCCAAGCTTGAAGCACCAAAGCGGGCCTGTTTTTCCGTGCCCACGGCACAATCGCCAACTGCCTGCCCAACTCCCTGAATCTCGAATGCTCAAACTCCGACGAAGCCCGCATTGAGACCACTGAGCCTTGTGCCATGAACATCTTTGAAGGAGCACCCATCTGCACATCTCCGGGGATCGTAGTCATCTGCGAGGTGTTCACATTTGGAGCGGTTCCTAAAGCCACCTGCGGAACATGACCTTGGCTCAGAACAGCTCGACGCCAAAGCACTGGCGGCGGACGGCCTGAGTCCATCACTTGGCTAGCAGCCCAGGTTGGCGTACCACCCTGCACCTCGCCCATCTGACTGCTAATCAGTGGAGTGCCAGGACTGATGTTCAACCTCTCTCGCATGACCATTGGAGAGAACGATTGTTCCCTGCGAAAGGGGACAAATCCGAAATGGCTTCTTGACAAATGGGGAATGACCAATCTTTGATCTTGCAGAATGTGGCATACTTGCATTGACAAAATCTCCAAAGCGTTATTCCTGTTCTGCCGACGCCTCTGTCTGTTTCCTTTCTGCTCCTGGATGACCTGGATATGAACAAGCCTAGCAGAGGCGACGGTCTGCATGGCAAAACAAATCGCAAATGAAGCACGAAGGCACAACTGCCCGCCGAGAAAAATTGCGATGGCAATGGCAATTACGAACTGTTGACAAAAATAGAAGCGAGCAGGAATCCATTGAGTCATATGTGTATATATTTGCCTAATTTGACTCTCTACATGCATCATATATAGAATATACTGCGTAAGCATATCTAAGCATCATTCCCTGCAAGCGTTTGTAACTTTAGAAGCCGAAAGGGCTCTTGAGACTCCCAACTGTTTGCTTGGGCCCGCCCCACGCCTGGGACGATCCTCCAGGTGGCGTCCGTGTACCTGCGGATTGCACGGGTTTGCTGCCAAAATGTGGGAAACGCAGTGCCATGGCGAGAATATGCTTGCAATATGCTTGCATGTTTCTGCATGTGAAAACCAAAATTCAAAAGCCACAAGCAAACAGCAGATGTTCGATCTCAAATCAGTTTGCTTTCCCGCTGCCAAGTTGTCATGCCCTGGAGGCCCCCACACATTGGTAGCCAGGCATGAAGAAGGGATTCTCAGTGACAGGTTCTACACTACTAGATTGTTACGCACCACAGGACCACAGGGGCTAGGAAAGGAGATTGAAGGCACATGTTTGAACAGTGTTTTGGAATTTCAAATTCAAACTTCTGTGGCTTAGCAGTGCTGCACAATGCTGCACATCTTTGCACATCGGGACCTCTCCGAGTTTTGGACTGCCACTGGGGCCAGAGATTTGCATGGGGAAGAAACCCGCTCTAAGCCTTGGAGCTCCACATGATTAAACGAAGAAAAGAAAGCTGGTTACAGCATGTTACAGCTTCTTGGAAAGTCTTCCTGAAAGGAATATCATCAAACTATCTAAGTTAGCATAAGTCATCTATATATATATAATTTATAAAATCTAATCTGCTCTACTCTTATCTACTATGCTCTAACCCAATCAATCAAATCAAATCAATCTAATCCAATGGAAATTAACCTAATCTAATCTAATCTTATCTATATAATCTAATCTAATCCAATCAATCTAGTTGAATCGAATCTAGTCCAATAATGTCCAATATATTTCTCTATATCTATGTAGCTATGTCTCTCCTTGTCAGGCTCGCTGTTGTTTTTTCGGATGGGATGGGTCTTTTCGGTATTGCGGTCGCTGGACTGCTGCGGAAAGGACCGAGGGCGGCACAACTCCATTGATGCCATAGGTATCCGAAACCTCGCATTGTCGTCGACCAAACTGCAAATGGATAAGCCCGTCAATCCTGACGAATAGCGAATAGCTTCTCTGCACGCTCAGTGAGATGATACTTAGTTTTGTTTGAACCCCGGCCAAATTTGCCAAATCACCACGTTTGACATCTTCAAACTCCTGCAATACTCGTAAGTCCGGAACTGGGCCGCGCCGTGCATCAAACTCAGAGAGGGGCCTCATGTTGACAGAAACATGGATCCAACGGAATCCAACATGTGACCAAACTTGTCCACTCCAAGCGACGGGTGAAACTGGGTGCCATGCAAAGAGTAGGGGCTGGCCGCGAACGCAGCAAGCTACCAAGAGGGTTGGGTCCACCGAAATTTGGAACGGAACCAGATCTGACCTGACACCAGATCCATGCGGCAGCAAACAACAGCATGAACAAATATTGAAAGAAAGCACAGTCTTAGCGGTCTTGGCGGCTCCTGAACCGGAGAATCTTGCACAGCTATCCAGCACTCTATCATCATAAATATCCCGCATATCTCCCTCTTTTGGCTTGCGAAAATGAAGTTCCCTGAACCTGCCTCTTGCACTGCTGGCGGACAACAGGCACCACAATCAGCCGCAAGCCCCTGGTCAAAGTTGCAGAGAACAAAACTGGCTTACAACTCACAAGTATTTCACAAGTCATATGGAAAATTTGTCGCAGAGAAAACTAACATGATTCACGGAGCAACGCATCGCCATGCGAGGCTTTTTTCGGAAAGAAAACTCGCCAATTTGCAGAATCGGCTCCAGCATCTGGCCTCCGCCCCTTTGGCGAAGCTGCTCGCATCCGCTGCAGTTCGTGCCATGCCTGGAGCACCAGCCATTCCAGCACCACGCCTGCATTGCTTGTGGCTATTGGATGGTATTGGATAGTATTGGTGCAACCTGACGCAATTAACTAATCTTCACCAAAGCTCCAAACATATCAGAACACCTGACCTCACACCCGACATACCCGACAGCTCTATAGCATGATGTCATAACATGTCATAGAATCATAGAGTCATAACTGAGTGTCTGGCACGTGGCCGCGATTCGCCAGTGTTTTGCTGGCATGGCTCGCCTGAGCGCTAAGGCACCCTTCAACATCCTGCAATTGTAACTTTTAATACGTTTAATACTTTTAAAATCTTTTAAATCATGTCTCCCATTTGCGCGAGAATGAAACCTGGCACGCCAATCTGCCCAGTACTTGCCAAACCATGTCAAACGTTGTCAAACCATGCTGCATTGCACAGTGCCCTCTGGCCTCAAGCATGACGGTCCAAAGCACAACCTCAGCCCAGTAATCTTGCTCGCCTCAAACCGGACAGCATGAAGCTCACAACCAGTTCAAGAAAGACAATTGATCTCCTCCAAGAGGGTTGAACATGACTGGTAACTACTATATACAATATGACTGGTATACGGTATACATATTATGTATCTATCCACTTCAATATGGTTTAACACCTGGCTGACTTTGCTGATGGCCGTCTGTGATCTGTCCCAGACTCAAACTGGCTAAGGCAACCACCACGAAAATGAGAGTCACGGCAAAAGACAGGCTTAAAACACAGGCCCCGGGCCTTGGAAGTGTTCCCAAAGCTCTCCAACACTCTGATTACGTCCAGATGGTGCCATGCATCTTCGAAGGCAAAAGTGTTAGAGAACACAAATATGATAATGATAACTCATTGTTCCCAATCAAACAGGTATGTACGGGGCTATCAGGATTTACCAGTGAAGTCAATCAAAATCGTTTGCTTCCTGACGCCTTATTTGGCAGTCAGTTTAAATTGTGGGCGCCACCAGGCAATGATGTCCCGCGCTGAAGTACGTGAGGACCATGAAGATAGAAGCGCCTGCAGCTTCAAGTTGAAAGTGCCATAAACTGAGGCTGGGTTCCTGGCGGATTGCTTTGCGGCCAGGCACTGTACTTGTTTCAGTCTGTGTAAATGAGATCGGAATACAGTCGCATCACATCTATACAAATACCAGTGGGGCAATGATTACATAAATATCGCTTAGCTTGGCCACCGGGCCAAAGGTGAGGACATATTCACTGACGTTGAAAAATTATTCCACCTCGCTGGGAGGGCATAGCTTGGCACTGGTTTTCAGCTGCAAGAACATGTCAATTTCCAGCTTGATGCATCATATGACACCCCTACAGGAACAATCAGGAACACCTAATGGAACCTAAGGCAAGATAAGGCAAGGATCTCCAAAGGGGCTTTTTCTACCACCTGGCGCAAAAATGTCCCCAGTGCTCAGGGCAGAAGCTGCCAAATCCATGCGAGTATAACGATGCTCGAACGATGCTCGAACGATGCTCCGGGAACCTGAACTATCTTAACTGGCAGAGATGCCGTTCTGATCCGTTCCGTACCTTCCCCACGAATTCTGACTCCCGATGTGAATTCACAACCGTGCCGCAAGTGGCATGGGCCGGAATATCCGGAATTTGGACAAAGGAGTTTCACAATCAACGCCAGGATGACTTGAGAAAGCAAGGACTGGGCGTGTCGAGGCTCCAGTCGCTGCCTTACCAGGCTCGAGTGAAGTGTTCGCTGCTTTAAGCTGCTTTAAGTGCATTTTGATGCAGTCTCGAAGCTCGAAATGCTTTGGCAAGGCCTTCTCCGCACAAGGCTTCCCCCCACCACATGAGAACGTGACGAGACTGTGAGCGAAGTTTGGAGCAGCGAGAACCTTAGACCATTCTACGCTCGCTGCACTCAGCGGCAATACCGGGAGGCAACTACACAATACCGGGAGGCAACTACACAACACGCATCAACATGCATCATATGAAGTCGTATGATATTATATGATATTATAATATATTATATGGAGAAAAAAGCAATGGGCTGTGCACATCTCGGGTCTCTCGCCAGACTCAACACTGTAGAGGGCAGCCCTAACTTCACCCAAGTATCCTGCTTAAGTTGTCTGAGATCCACACTCCAAGGCATCGTCTCCTTCCAGTTCTATCAGCTCCTTCGGAATACTGATGGAACACTGATCCCTGACGGCATCAGCAAACGCACTGAGGCTCGTTCATCGACCTTTATTACCCAAAACCCTTGTTAATGAGAGTCAGTTTTGCATAGGCTAACAAGGACCAGCAAATAGACGGCCATCCCTAGGGTTTCTGTTTGTCTCGCATCCGAGACCTCGTCAACAGAGAGTGCGGCGCATTGGCCAAGCTGTTCCTGAAAACAATCTGGCCACAGGTGATCCGAGGTGTCAGGTTCAAACATGTTCAAACCACGTTTGAAATTATTTAAGGAAAACCGCCGGAAACTTGGCTGAGGTGGCATTGCATGTGCTGCAAGCTATCTGAGCCCCACACAGCTGCCGCAAAAATTAATGGAAATGAGACCTTCACTCAAATGGTCTCCGGAGATCTACATACATCCCTTTGAAGCTATATAATTCTTTCGAATGTCACCAGCACTCAGACAGCAGCGCCCAATTGAACACATCAAGGATCCAACACCGAAGAGGAATCGGCTCATTCTATTCCGACCTAAGGGTGAGTCAAGAAAAAAGACACGTATCATATGTAATTCATATTAATTCATTATATAAATATTGTAATGATGACATGTAGTGTGGACAGTTGCTTTGAAACCTTGTCATCTGGGGGACCAGCAAATGAAGTGGGGCTTCTGTATCGGAGACTTCCCCGCACCATCCACCGAACCTAAGCAAATGCCCGCAGCAACTGGCAAATGAAGGATGTGAAGGAAGCAAGACTTGACGAGATTGAGCAAGCGCAACCATCTGCATATGGGTTTGAGGATGCTGCTGATTCTCTGGTGGGTGAGCGAGGCCGCTTGAGACAAATTTGCGGGGATTTGCTGCGTCTGTTCCTTGCAGATGCATTGCTGGTTGCTGAAGTAAACACCAGCCGCAGACTTCCCTTGATCACTTGATTAGCTGCTCTGCCCCTCAATGGAAATGGCAAACCAAATTGTTCAAAATTAACAGGCCGACGGTGCCAGTTCATCTTCTTTGACTCGCAAGGTCCAAAGACATCCGTGCCCGTGCACTTTTGAAAGCCTGCCTTTGGCTTTCGAGTGCGTCCACTGACAACATATCATTTGGAACCGTCCAAAACCCTGAAAAGCAGCTGCCATTTAGCAACACTGCAGCTCCAGCAGATGTTTGCCAGAGCAAGGGCGTTGATGGACTTTGCGGCTATGGCGACACGCCACTCATCCCATCTACCAACTCTGCTGGTGACGGAACTCTTGACATTGTCCGACTATCGACTGAATTGAGAGAATTAAGACATGAAACTACACGCTTGCAGGAGTCAACGTGTGTGTGCTATTTGTTGACCTCTTGAGCATGGCAATTCTGCTTTGACACCTCGTCATTTCTTGTCGCATTTGTTCTATCAGGCCTCTCTCCTCTCAGAGTCTTAGATGTCTTAGATATTGCTCTCACTGCATTTTTGAGAGATTTTTGGGAATGCAGTTTGTCTCCTGGCATTGCTTCGCCCATTTCACTTGACACAAATGAGTTGCTCAAAGGGGCAGGGGCATTGCACAGCCCCGAGCATTCCCAGATTGAATCAAGACCTGATAGTAGGCCAAGCCAGCATTGGAGGAAAGACGAACGATGCTTGTGAACTACGTATGTCTGGCCCTGTCTGGCCAATACCCGTACCCATGGGCCTACACATGTCTTACATTGCCTTACCCGTTACACTGACTTACATGCTCTCGCGCCCACACTCAATGCATTTGTCTGTGTCCTAATGCAGCATATCTGATTGGCACATCTACTGGGGTATTGGCTCTCCAAGCAGCTCTCGAAGCACTTGCTCGGCCTCGCCTGCCGCCACTTGAGTGCCACTTGCCATCTGAAGAAATGAAGGCATTGAGAACTTGGATGTTGTAACGGGCAATCATCACAACATCAGATGCGCATGAGATGAATGCTGAAATCAAACATACCCCAAGTCTCTGTCTCCACTAAGTAATTTCTAAGGCAGTGGCTGTGACCATATTTCTTGGCACACCTGGGTAGCGAATGACAGGAACAGTAGTCGGATGCGGTCAGTAGTCCACTCTTTTCATCAGGTCAGGTGTGTTCCAGCGCATTTCGAGTGCATCCTCTTTTCAGCCCCCGACTGAATTGGAGTTCGTCCAGCTGGAGTTTTCACCTTCAAACCGAAGTGAAAGCAGTGCTGAGCAGAATAGTATAGAATAGTGCTGGAATCAAGACTTTCAAAAAGCTTCTGCAATCGAAGCAAATCTTTGCTCGAGTAAGGGTTCGAGATAGTGCAACCCGTATGAACTTACGGGATTTTCTACGTCCTTTGCTCCACACTAGAATCACTAGAAGTCGCTGACGGGGGGATCCTCGCTCTCCCCGGAATCATGCTACCTGTTGATGCTCTGGCCGCACCAGCATGCGAACCACCTCTGCATGCCCATTCCTCAGGAAGAGTCTTTGAATGTGTTCAGGATGGCAACTCTTGGAACAAGCTTCAGTTTATGAAAGACATCCTACGGCTGTGTGGAGGCTATGACGACTACGTCGGTTTAGTTTGTCTGGAGACTGGCTTGAGAAATCGGCCGGACCGCTAGCAGGAAGCTGCACCAACCACCTCAAAATTCAAACTTGAAACTGGAACTGGGACAACATGCATGCTATTGCAAATGCTCCAGGCAAGGAAAAGATATTATATATAGAGGTATATAATGGTATATAGATAGATCCCACGAGCAAGGAGGATTTATCTAAACAAATCTGAACAGCAAAATCATCAAAATCATTCAAAATTCAATAAGTTCACATCAAGGCTATTCACCGCATAGTCAGAGCATCTTTTTTGTGGTTCTTCTCCCATGTGGCTCACGGGAATGGAACTGGTTCAGCTGCGAACTGTACTTCAACTCTCGCGACTAGCGACAGTCAGAGCAAAAAGCAGCGCGACAGCAGCACCAATGGCCGAATGGGCCTACTTCGGCCGCCTCCGGCCTACGGCGGCCAACGGCGGCCTACGGCGGCCTACATGTGCATTACATGTGCATTACATGTACATCATGCCGGACTCACGGCCCTTGTTCTTGACGATCTGCTCAGTCATCATGGACTTCCAACCATCCTTGTAGGTTTCAGCCACCTGCTCCTTCAAGTGGACGATGGCCTTGGCTGGGTCCAAGCCCTTCGGGCAGCAGTTGGTGCAGTTCATGATGCCATGGCAACGGTACAGCTTCATGGTGTCGTTGACCCATGCCAAACGCTCTTCCGTGAACTGATCCCGCGAGTCTGCAATCCACCGGTAAGCCTGCATCAGAACTGCTGGGCCCAGGTAATACTCTGGATTCCACCAATAGGACGGGCAAGAAGTCATGCAGCAAGCGCAAAGGATGCATTCGTACATTCCATCTAACTTGGCGCGGTCTTCACGGCTCTGGAAGTATTCCGTGTCACCCTTGGCCTTCACATCCTTGCGCTTCAACCAGGGCTCAATTGACTTGTACTGGTTGTAAAAGTTGGTGAGGTCAGGCACCAGATCCTTCACCACGTAGGTGTGAGGCAATGGCTGGATCTCGATTGGTTTGCTATTTTCTTCAATGTACAGCAGGCAAGCAAGGCCATTCCTGCACCAGATTGACATCACAATGGACGATGCTTCTCGTGTTTCATTCATACTCGAAGCCTCGAAAAGCCATTCGTAGGACAAGTGTACATTAAATCATTAAGGCTTAATAAGGATGATTGCTTCTTCCCGTCCTTTTGAATGTTCTTTCGGCAGCTTGACAGCTCGCACTTGCAAACAAGTTGCTTTCCATTGATGTTCATGGCACAGGAACCGCAAATGCCCTCACGGCAGGATCGTCGAAATGTCAGCGTGGTGTCCACCTCAGAATCATCGTGGAATGCAGGCAACCGCAACCTTCCTGAATGATGACCCTGCAGGTGCAACATGGTGCAACTCATAAAAAACATAAATCTATATAAATCTTCAAAACTCATCTAAACACCTGAATCTGCCAATCTCCAAGTACCCGAGTGAGTGGCTACGCTGATTTCCCTTCACAATCACCTATGACAGTTGCTTGCCAAAGTTTCACGGTGCCCAAGTTTTCTCTCATGTGGTGCTCGTGTCTCATCTTGAAATGACCAATTCATGCCAATCCCGAGCACCCCGAGCACCATCCCGTGTTTTGACTCAGTTGGATCGGAGTCGTGCCTCGTCCTTGATCTTGATGAGTGCGTCCAGGATCATGGGGCCACATGCTTTCAAATCGATGGTGTACTCCTGCAAGAATGGTTTTGCCTGCTGATCTGGATCATATCGGTAGATCCTGAGATTCATGAAAAAGCAGGATTGAAAAAAACAAGAGGGATGAGTAATTGCACCTACGTCACTCAATTGCCCAAGATAATCATGTGAGTTGATTTCTGACTTGATTTTGCACTTGAACTACTTGTGACCACCATGATGGAATAGTTGGTGTTTTGGGTTCGGCCTACTTGGGCCCTTTTTCAGTCGTGCAAATCTAAGTGAATGACTTGCTCTGGGTGGTGCTCGCACATGTTGCCTTTCAGTTGTGCTTTTCGGTTTACCTCTGTACATTTCGACCGATTTGCAAGTTTGCGCCATTTTCCTACATCGCTCGTGCTCTTCACGTCTTCATCAATGTTCCCGTTTCAACCGTTTCTTTACTCGATCTATACTCTGCAATCAACATATGTTATGTTTCTTGATAATTATATTTGCATATGCACATATATAAACATGTATACTGTATACTTGTATGTGTGTGTATCCATGCATGCATCTATCTATCTAATCTAATCTAATCTAATCTAATCTATCTATCTATCTATCTATCTATCTATCTATCGCATCGCATCGCATCGCATCGCATCTCATCTCATCTCATCTCATCTCATCTATCTATCTATCTCCATCCATCTATCTCTATCTATATATCTATCTCTATCTATATTTCAATCGATCTATCTATCGATCTAATTATCTATCTATCTAATCTAATCTAATCTAATCTCATCTCATCTCATCTCATCTCATCTCATCTCATCTCATCTCATCTCATCTATCTATCTTACATAAGTCAGGTAGGTAGGTAGGTAGGAAGGTATGTATGTATGTATGTATGTAGGTATGTACGTACGTACGTACGTAGGTGGGTAGGTGGGTAGGTGGGTAGGTATGTCTGTGTGTCTGTGTGTCTGTGTGTCTGTGTGTCTGTGTGTTTGTTTGTCTGTCTGTCTGTCTGTCTGTCTGTTTGTTTGTTTGTTTGTTTGTTTGTTTGTGTGTGTGTTTGTTTGTTTGTTTGTTTGGTTGGTTGGTTGGTTGGTTGTTTGTTTGGTTTGTTTGTTTGGTTTGTTTGGTTGGTTGGTTGGTTGGTTTGTTTGTTTTGTTTTGTTTGTTTGGTTTGTTTGGTTGGTTGGTTGGTTTGTTTGTTTTGTTTGTTTTGTTTGTTTTGTTTGTTTTGTTTTGTTTTTTTGTTTGTTTGTTTGTTTTGTTTTGTTTGTTTGTTTGTTTTGTTTGTTTTGTTTGTTTTGTTTGTTTTGTTTGTTTTGTTTGTTTTGTTTGTTTGTTTGTTTGTTTGTTTGGTTGTTTGTTTGTTTGTTTGTTTGTTTGTTTTGGTTTGGTTTGGTTTTGGTTTGGTTTTGTTTTGTTTTGTTTTGTTTTGTGTTGTGTTGTTTTGTGTTGTGTTGTTTTGTTTTGTTTTGTTTTGTTTTGTTTTGTTTGTTTTGTTTTGTTTGTTTTGTTTTGTTTTGTTTTGTTTTGTTTTGTTTGTTTGTTTGTTTGTTTGTTTGTTTCATTTTTATTCGAGGGTCGCGAAGGCCTGCGGCTTGGCCATTGCCGCGAAGCCACGTGAAGCGAGGCTGCGTGGGGCAAGGCTGCGCAGAGCTGCGAGCGCCATGGAAGCTCGAGTGAAGCCGGGTGAAGCGAGGGCAGCGAAGGTCACCCGGAAGGCCCGGAAGCGCAGTTTCTACCAATTTGAGAAAAAGTCAAACGATCCGAAAGGATCAGAAACCATCAGAAACCAAGAGTACAAACCGTTGAAGCCTTTTGGCATGGCCACCTTTCAAACAGCAATCACTGATGAAATATATACGTAACTGCTGCAAGTTCCACGCATGCATTCCCCCTTCATGGCTCCAATTCTTGAGCTCAAGACTGGGCAGTTTGCTGAAGACATCAGCACCATACTGTAATAAAACCTTCACCTCAGCTGCTTAGCTCGTCCTCTGGACATTTCAAGCAACGTGCATGCCTTTCGGTACATTTTGTTGCCTGTCTCTTGCATCTTTCGTTTCGCTTCTCTATGTGCTGTCAAAATCTGTCAAATCTGTCAAGGTGCCACAGACGACCGGCCCAGTCGTGCAGCAACCATCAGAGGCGTAGCTCCACCCTCCATTACCTTGGCAATGGGCGCTAAATGATGCAAGTACGTGCAAGCAACATCAAGCAACATGTACGGTATCAATTCGATTACCAATACACAAGTTTTTGCCAAGTGAGATGAGTGGCTAGAGTCTGGAAATATCTGGAAATCGTGAGCAATCATGAGTCACGAGCATAGCTGCTTTCCATACCAGACGGAAATAGTCTTAAGTTTGATGGTTCTATCAACACAATGTAGGGTGAACAAAAGTTGACCTTCCAGTTTGCCAGGGCTATTGAGATGTTAGCACATCGAAGCGATTGGGGCAACTCTATCTATCTGTCTGTCTGGCTATATCTCTCTCTCTCTATCTATCTGTGTCTTATGGGTATCATACTTATACATTATATGTCATAATGTATATTCATATATATGTGTGTGTGTTGTGTGTAATAAAGATGTGGTATTGTGTAGTCATATCATATCCTGTGTGCGGTCGTGTTTTCAGGGCTTCGCACCAAATCCACCGCAGCGCCATGTGCTAAGAGAACCTGGCCGAAGCAAAAATAGCTTCCTTTTGATTGGGAATTGAATCCTAAGAATCAGCCTTCTGCCTCGTGATCAAAGGCATGGGAGCTACCAATATAAAGTCCACTGACACTGACTCTTGACTAACTCAACTGGAACTTGCCTCCGCAACTTCAGCAGCAGTTGCCGGCTGAGGGGAACCTGACAGTTGACTGCAAACAGCCAATAATATCCAATAATTGCATTGCAATTCTGCAATCTGAAGAATATTAATGTCCAGTTGCACTTGCATGATCACTTACTTGGTGCTACGCTATATATACTATAAACCTTCTCCCTGACTTGTAAGTGTACTTGATGCCACTCTATGGAGACCGGGTTGGGTGGGGCAATGCAGTCAGTTGCTCCCGTCCTTAGAAATTGTAAAGGTGGGCCACCATGACATGCTGTAAGGATTCTGTAACGTTGAAAGTCAACCAGTCAGAAAAATTCAAATGACAGGAACATCAATAAGACGCGGAAAACTTCTATTCTAAACCATAAAATGGAAAGGCACCAAAATCAACACGGCACTGTGGCGAATCGGAAATCGGCTCTGGGATTTTGAAGAAAATACCAACAAGTGATTCTTGCATCCAAGCTAAGAGTTCCAGACCATCATTGATCATGCCCTTCCGGTGAAACCCCTTCATCTTCTCTTCCCAATAGATTCAATAGATTGCAATCACTGCAATCGCTATGTCAAGGCGGTACCATGGAAGCAAATGGTCGAACCTCACTAACTAAGACAGACGGCACCATCCCTGGCCTCCAGCACCAGCAGCCAAATGTAGCGCTGTGATATCGTGGCTGGCTGGGGCCTCAAATGAAAGCCTTGACTCAGTTGAATTACTTCACAATCTTCAAAGGAACGTCCAAAGCTTTCAGAACCCTTATCTGAACAAATCTTCAAAGGAATCTCCTGGTGCACGTCAAACAAAAGAAAATAAAAGATCGCAGCAACCAGGTTACATCCACCGATGCCCCCCTCTCCAGCAGCAGGCGGACAAGCGAGGCATGTCCAGCCTAGTTGTCGAAATGGCAATGCCGACAGGTGACCTATGATGCATTTTTCAGTACAAACTACAGTATACTACAGCTGCTACACAGTCATTTCCCGGCTGTGGTTCTCCTCACTGGGCTTTTGAAGCCTTTTGAAGCCTTTTGCAGCTTCCCGTTGAAAAGATAAGCTCAGCAACAGTCCTCAACTTGAGTTGCCAGCTTCAGCGGCCAAGTGCAAGGGAGGCACCTCGGCAAGAGCAACAAATGAGTCACCGCTACTTAACCATCCAGGAGCCCCGTGGAACCCGGTGGTGGTTCCAATGTTGTCCAAGTCCAGGTCATGAGTTTTCATGTGCTTTGCACTTCTCTTCCGTGAAGCTTTACAGCTGCTTTGAGTTTGACGTGTGGCTTGCATTGGCGTACATTGGTTTATACTGGCTTCCTGGGGACGTCATGAGGACGACTTGCGCTGCCTGTTGTCACATTTTGTGCCCTTTCGTCTGTGCTTGCTTGTTGTTCAGGTTGTGATCTTCAGCTGGTGAGCTAGGTCCAAGACCTGTCCAGGAGCTTCAGTCATAGGCCTGGGCCACATCTACCAGAGTCAATGACACTAGCAGCCAAGTCGGCCAAGTCCTTCCTGTGATTTGTTTGATCTCGGACGCGTTCAACAGATTTCAACAGTCTCATTTCAGCCCCGCGCTGAACTTCCAGCACGGCTTTGACATTGGACTCATCTCCGCTATGAACTGCTGAATGAAGAGGCATCCATCCCTGACAAGAGAAGGTTTGGAGTGACACGGTTTTTACATGGTTTTACTCATCAAATTGAACAGCAGTGTCTCTGAATATTTCCCGGGCGGGCCTCATCAGTACTTCTCAGCTGCGTGTGCTGCAACAAAAAGCGGACCATTTGGCCATTTCTTGGAACCATGCAGGCCAAATGAAGCGCTGTCCAATTGCCAGGCCTGGGACAGAAGGCGAGAAGGCTAGATGCGGGTAGATCTGCAGAAGGCTAGGACCGGCTAGGCAGGGAGGCTAGTCAGCTGGGAAGCTGGGAATCCGAAGCAGCCTTTGCGCAGCGCTTGGGCCGCATGTGCTGGGGGTCCCAACATGGTGGCATCCAAGTCAGCTCCGAAGCGAACCAGCAGCTTTACAATATCAAAATGCCCTGCCTCAACGGCTACCTTGGGAGATTAATGAAGCTGACTGCATCAGAAAGAGAAAAGATGGAAAGACAATCCTAGGAGCTTACTACCGTGGTCAAGCCTGACTCATACAGAGCATGAGTGCACACATCAACCTCCGAAACTAGACCTGACACAAAGGACTGGTGCCTCAAAAGCCATCCGTGATTCCCCTCTTATATATATATATATGTGTATGTGTATATATATATGTGTGTATATATATATATATATAAACCGGGGGCTCCATCCATTGCGAGTTGCAATATGTTTTCCATATCTTGCAATCACATGCAATCACGAGTATCTTGGGGTGTTTTCCTATTCCAAAGTTCCTGTGGCACCAAGGCTTTGGCCATCAAAGGTGTCCGACCCCGCTTGCTCAGAATGTTTACTGAAGCGCCCAGTTCGATTAAAGCCCTGGGCTTCGAACGCAGCATATCGTCAGCAGAAACCGATGGAAATAGATTCAGAAATTGAATGATTCGAACACAATGGGCAGCCAGCCTTGCCACAGCCGGTTGCCCAGCCTGACAAGTGAGAGGAACTTGGTCAGAATCTCAAAGCGGTTGCCAGCTCATGCTGGCTGCAGGATACAATAGCCCCTAGAGAACAAGCGGTCTTGTCTTTTGCCACTTCCCATTCAGTGCATATTCCATGGAAGGATACATGCGGATATATACACGTACGGTGTCAGACTCGCCAGTCAAGCAAGCCCAACAAGTAGCAATGCCTGGGCGTAGCCAGGGCATACCCTGCAATCTTGCCTGTGCGACTCTCAGAAGACAACCTTTGATGAACTCGAGCGAACTCAAGATCAAGCTGGATCAAGATCTGCCAAGCCGAGCTCAAAAGAGGTTGGTCTTTTTCATGATGCGAAGGAACTCTTCTTCGTTCACTTCACCATCTCCATCACGATCAGCCTCGTCGATCATCTCCTGCAATTCCTCGTCTGTCATGCGCTCGCCCAATTCTTTGGCCACGCGCTTCAAGTTCTTGAAAGAGATCTTGCCGGTCTCATCATCATCAAAGAGGCGGAATGCCTTGAGGATTTCATCTTTTGGATCGCGATTCAGGATCTTGTGAGTCATCATCTTCAAGAACTCTTCATAACCGATGGTTCCGGAGCCGTCATCATCCACGTCCGAGATCATCTTCTGAATCTCCTTGCAGGTTAGACGAGGTAGTCCTTCTGATACAAGAATCATCCGGAATCATCCAAACTCCACGTAGATTCTAGATTCTAGCTCTAGGTTCTAATGATTCTAGATGTGGCATATCCCATCCCATCCCAGACTCAAAGCCTTCAAGCCTGCTGACCTTGACTTGAGCATATCGTGTGTCAACTCAATGTGTTGCATGCGCTTACAGTCTTCATGAATATAAATGCTCAGAACACATGTGGAACTTAGAAAGGCGGCGCTGACTGCGCACATTGAGATCAACGTCCAGCACCGTGCACAGTCGGTCCATGTCAGTCCTCTTTCTTCGGCTCAAAGCCTAGAGCCCTCATGGCGACCTTGAGCTCCTTTGAATCGATTTCACCTGAACCATCCGTGTCGAAGAGGTCAAAGGCTTCCTTGATCTCCTGCTTCTGCTCCTGACCAGCGATCAAGCGGTCGGGCACAGCCATGCCCACAAGGACTCACAAAAAAAAACAAAGGATCTATAACTATACAGGTGCAGTCTTGCTGCACTTGCACCATCCCAGAAAAGAAGCTGGTGGACAACTAGCTGGATTGACGTAGCATCTTTCTTTGGCAGAAGTTCATACACGTCGAAAGCTTTCGATTTTCGTATGAGCTTCTTCCGAGGATCACTTCCCCTCGCGGGCAACAAGATCAACAAGGTCACTTCAGAACATGCTGATACTAATAGTTCTACGCATCTATGTTGAGACTTCCATGTATGAACATGGATATATGATATCTGCAAATGTGTATAAATACAACGATAATAATAATGATAATAATGATTATGATAATAATATATAATAATAATCATAATAATTATGATGACGATGATGATGATGATGGCGATGATGATGATGATGATGATGATCTTAATATGCATGCATGCATCCATACATACCATGCCATACCATGCCATGCCATACCATATCATACCATACCAGACCATACCATACCACACCATAAATTAAATTAAATTACATTACATTACATTCGTACACAAACACAAACGCATTGTACCTACCTCTGCACTTCCCTGGGTCCTCTGTCAGCTCCTTTTGCTTTTTTCCACCGGCGTTGAAGCGACGGAGGGCCATTGCGTGGGATAAGTGATAAGCAAAGGAAAGAGCTGAATGGTGCAGGAGTGAGGCGGTTGGCCAGAAACACCTGTTTGGGTAAGAAATGGGCGACGACACAGGAACGTTCCTCAAGATTGATAGCAAGAAATCATCTGAGGGATTTTCAGGCAAGACTCTCATATCAAGTTCCTTTCCCGGCATGTCAAGGATTGTCAGCGGATGCTGGGATGATCCCAGGATGTGCCTTGCAGGCCAGATGCAATGGCGTCCAACCCATGGCGGTGATAGCATCGATGGCCCTTTTGCCACCTCAGCCCAGTCAGGGGAAGATCTGAACAAGACTAGCTACACCTCACGTCACCTCCAAGGTGAAGCTCCTTGGGATTCTTCAGACCTCCTGGGACAAGACGATCAAATCCACTTTGGCCGTAACATTCCGTAACGTTGCTAAACCATTTCTCTAACGAGTTCTTTTGCCGAGCGGCCGAGTCTAGACTCGCTGGATTCCAGCAACAAATTGCAACCTCAGCAAGTCTTTGCGTACGCCCATTCAATATCATATGTTTGCCCATCCTTGGCAAGTCACCTTTCAGAAACGACTTGAAAGTGAAGTACAGCAAACAATTCACACTGCACTACCGTTCTTTCTTTGCTCATGAGTTTGAAGGCACTCTGGTTTCATCAGTATTTCCAATATATACATTATATATCCATATCTATATAGAGGGATGGTTGCCAAGTGGTCACTGACTTGAAATGAAGGTTGATACAGTAGCTGGAGGTTTGGATTGGTGTAAACCTTCTGCACAAGTTTGTTTTGCCTCAGCCCAGGTCATGTCATGTGCCCAGCACGTGCAGCTAATGCCAGTGGCGTAAAGCCACCACCTCGGGGTTGCACAAGGCACTCGGTAGCGCGAAACACAAGCATCATTGATCATCGTTGTAGCAGCGGTAGCATCTCATGGCGTTTCCCTTCATCTTATGTCAGCCGCTCTTTGCCTCGGACGCATCTCAGTATCTGTGCTGGCCCGTGCTGCCAGAAGGGCACGAAGGATTTCCTGGAAGCCCTCAGCACACTGTTTCCGTGAATAAAAGGGGGGCCGGGCGAGGCAATGAGTGACCATCCATCTACCCATACAGGAGCCAAGGGTAGTCTGGATTGGAAAACATGACATTCCTGCCGGACTCAGAATCAAAGGCCTCCACACCTACCCAAGATGGTAGAATCTACTAGAATTACTAGAACTCAATTCATGGTGAATTCAAATAATTCAAATTAATTCAAGATGTTTTGAAAATGGTCATGAAGTCACTGACGAATTCGACGCCGGTGGATTGGCCACTGGGGCCAGGACCAACTGTGCAGCAAAATGCAATGGCCGACAACCGCTTTCAGTCCCACTCGTGTCGACCATTGATTGGTCCTATCCGACTGGAAAGAAAACATCCGGTGATTCATACTGATTTGAAAATGCCCCATACATCTTGAAAGCTTACCTGCGTAATGCATCTTTGAAGTCTCGAACATAGTCTCGAACATATGGTACAAGCCTAGCATCAAATACCCAGAATCTCCCAAGGGATGTTGAAACAATGCCCCAATGGCGACGTCTACCCGCAGTCCGGATCTGCATTCTTCCCAACCAATAGCAGCTGCGTCAGGTGCAAATGCCCTAGTTGGACCTGAACAACGAAAAGCGGGATGCATTTGGCACAATTTGCCAAAGAAGAAAATCACAAAAATGAAAAGAATACTGGGACATATTTTTCTAATTAAATGCGTCGATAAAATGGGTCGATGCCACGCTGCCATGCGAGTTACGACGCCATCAGAAATTAGGCAAGGACTGCATAGTGCAAAGGCGTCGCTCCAGAAGAAGCGATACAGCCTTGCAGTATCTTGCAGGGCTGTTCTACTATTAGTGTCCCAACTAGGCCACAATGAAGACATCGTACTTCAGACACTTCAGACTCAGCAAACAAATTCATACAAATGGACGGTGAATTCAACATAAATTAACACCGTTGAATTTTCTAGGCCATCTCCGTCCGCCACCTGCAGAGGCTCCACGAGAGAGCAAGACCTGAGCAGTTTCCTCATGACCTTGCTGCACCGCCACATGCAACGCGGTAGCCTGCGACGCAGCTCTCAAACTTCAAGTGAATGAAACCGAAACTGCACGTGAAAGACATCCAAAGCTTTCAGCGCCATGTGCAGGTTTACAGTTCAGGGGTTGAAGACCCCTTACCCATCCCAGACAGCAGAAAGCAACAATTCTTCTGGTCACATGAAAATAAATTCAAACAGTAGACGTGAGTAGACATAGTGACATAGTCCATCATGATGCCTTGCTCCTGGATCGCTACCACCAACAAATGAAGGTCCATGAAGATTCTGGGGCTACACCCCTCAGTCTGAAGTAAACACGAAGCTTTCTGTCGGCTTGGATGCCAGACCCCATCGGCTGTTGTTGCATCAACTGCACTTCCGTGATTCAGCCTCAGATGATATCAAATAATCATAAATAATCTCAAATATGATGAAAATCCACCACAATGATACACAATGATACAAAATGCCGCAGTTGCTGAAAGCCCAAGGCCTAGGCCTTGAGGCCCTGAGACCCTGACAGCAGCTCGGTTATGCTGGCAGAGCGACGGCGTGCTGCTTCATGGAGCGGAGCCTCTTCATCGGGAGATTTAAAAACAATGGAAAATCTCTTCAAGCGTCTTCCTATGCTGTCATCTGCTAATGTTCTTCTAGTAAGGACTTATGACTTATGATAAAGCTCAAGATCTCTGTGCAGAACTCTGCGTGACCACCATGACTGAGGCCCCTACCCAAGTTTGAGCCGGTACAGAGGGTGAAGCACGGGCTGTGAGAAGCAAATGCACAGCTTCTTTCCCTGACCTAGCCACGTCCAGAGCTGAAATTACTGTGCTGCAACGGGTGATGGGAGAAGTGACACCCAAAGAGATATTTCAACCGAATTGAGCACACTTGAACCAACTTTCCCTGCATTTGTACTTGGTCAGCCGTCAAGCCACTGCACAGCCGCGTGAAGTGGAGACCAGTCTTTGCCAGTCAGCATGGCACGAGCTTTCATGAGCTCCTGTCAGGCAAAAGGAAGACCATGGATCACGTATGGTCACGTACATCAAGAATGGGGTAGGCATGGCTAAGCTGCCACGTGACCATTTCGAGCGTAGGTCTTGCACAATGCACCGTGAAGCTGCTAACATTTCATTACACCGGCATAGACCCCAGATAGAAACGGCTTCGGAGAAACCAAGGGTTGCTGCACTGTTCGCCAGAAGTACCGTTTAAAGAAAAAAAAACTTAGACTTGACGGCTGCGTAAAATAGTGTGAGGCCCACATCGTCACTTCAGTGAAATGAGCAAAGCCTCTTAGCCTTGTGCCCTCAACGCACTGCACCACAGCTTGATAGCGGGTTTTTGAGCCCATCCTCGAGCCCATCCTCCATACAATCCAAATGTCCACCTTTGGAAGCCAAAAATAGGGGAGTGCCTCCTTTCTTGACATTGGAGGCCTGCAAGCACAAACTTGAACCACCAAATGAGCCGATGGCATTTTCCAGTTGACCGCGTTACTTGTGTCTGATCAGAACAGATTGGGAGAGTGAAATCATTGGATCATGCTTGTATAATAAAGTGTGGTGTGAAATGCCGGAAAGGGGTTGCCCAGCCACTCGAAGGAATGTCAAGAAGTTGTTGAAGGGAATCAAATCAAACGACATCGCGCCTCTACGTCTGCTCTGTATTGAAGCAAGAGCTTGACCTGACGTTCTTTCTGGCACCGGCACCACTAGAAGCACAGGCACCGCGCACGAAATGTGGCCTGGAGTGGACTGGATCCAGCCAGTCTTCTCAGTGTCTGACGAGTTCCAGCCTACCGGACTTTGCAGCCTAATCCAGCGGCGTTGCCAAATTTCACTGTGACCCAGCAACAATATGCAATTGCTTCAGAAAGTAACCTGTCCAAACATCATCAAACATCCTCATACGTCATGCCATACATCATGTCATACTCATACATTGTGCATCATTGTGTACCGTTCTGCACATGTTGCAGCGCACCATCCGGAGAGGACTTCTGTTGGGATCTGGATGAGCTCCGGCGCCCAGAAGCCGCCGGGCCACATTGACATGACCAGGCCGACTCGCCTTGGCAAAGATCGCTGCGAGATCATTGGTCCAAAAGTTTAAAAGTTCAAAATGTCAATTAGTGCTATCACCATCACCAGGTCATACCGCGTTTTTTGCATTTTTTCCCAAGCAAACAACTTCAGAAAAACAGTCTTGCGGACATTGCCTTAAACCAGAAGAAAACAAAATTCACCAAGCAGCTTCAATATATAGCCATCACACCAAACGCCAAATTTACTTGCTGGCCATCCCACCAACCTATTTTTATGCCTAGACCCTGCATGTATGCATAATCATCGAAGGAAGTTTAGAAGTCAAACTTCCGACAATATGGACAGATGAAAAGCAGAGATGGGCAGAGGCAGAGAGAAGAGAAGAGCAGAAGAGAGAAGATCAGAGAAGAGAAAGAGTCAAAGTAAGAAGATCCAGGTACAAGAAAAGGTAGGAAAGTCGCGAAGCACTGTGTTTTTCCAATGGTTTGTGGCTCCGGGGGGTCATTTGTAAGCTCGCTAAAGCGGCGGGTGCGGAGCCATCTGGCCAGATGAGAGATGAAAAAGTGCACGCCGTTGTGGTGCGAAGCACATTTCGAAGTCAAAATGTACAAAACACACCAGGGTCGGACCACTTTTGCAAGTTGCGATGTCGAAATAGTGCACGCCATTGTGGCGCGAAGCACATTTCGAAGTCGTGGTTTCCAAGCTTCCAAATACATGGGAAACATCTGGTGCTGTCTGCTTTAAACTCAATACTCTGCCTACCTCTCTCTTCCTGCTTACCTGCAATGGATCGTACTGGCTACTTTTCGCTGTGAAGGCTTTTCTGATTACTTTTCCTAAGTTTCGGGCCAGCACCAAGGCAGTCGCCCCATCCTCCTTGGAATTTGGAGATCCAAGCACAAAGTGCGAATAGACATAGGAGCTGTTGGAACCCAGACTGATCGGCATTTTGGGCACGACGATGTTGCACTTTCCAAGATTGACTCAAATAGAATTCAAACCCATCAACATCAAAGTACCCTAAAGTCCCCTGCCCCTGGGAAGCTGCACCTGTCCTGCTCTGAATTCACCTCTGCCTTGTTCTTCAGCAACAGGTCCACTGCTGCATCGCGTCCAGAAGCTGCTGCCGCACGGAGCCCAGCGTTCAGAGAGGCCTAGCTGCCGTGTCATGAGCTTCAGAGTGTAATTCATGATATGCGCGTATGTGCACACATTTATCCGGGAGATATATGAGTGGACGGGTAGAGATAGAGATAGAGAACAAAGATTAAAGATGGATGGGTGGATGGATGGATCGGTCGATCCACAGACCCACAGACAGACAGACAGACAGACAGACAGCCAGGCAGGCAGGCAGGCAGGCAGACAGACAGACAGCCAGGCAGGCAGGCAGGCAGGCAGACAGACAGACAGACGTGACAAATAGAGATACTTTTTTAGGCGTGCCATAAATGATACCCGTCTGTTGGAATTCACGTGCATCTGAATATCATGAAAATCGAAGTCATCAGAAAGAGCTGCAGGAGGCAATCAGCTGTCATATGAAATGGATTGAAATGGCATGTTTCACAGCACATCATATCACTGAGACTTTCTCGGATTTCCCAGCTGCCTGATCAGGAGGTTCCAAGTTTCCGGTCTGCAGTAAGAGTGGCAGCAGAAGCAGGGAGAGCGTATTCAACTCCTCAAGTGGCCTCAGTGAAACGCGGTGTCGAAAGCACAATGCTAGACGTGCCACAATGTCTGGAAAGATGTTCAGGCGAGTGTTGGCTCCAACAATCTCCGCGGGCACATTTCTCCTCCCAAGTTGGTTCTCAAAGCCCCCTACACTCCGCGAAGTGCTGCTGCTGCGGTCGACCGATTCCCATTCAGGATTGCGTGATCCTTGGTCTGCCAAGTTTCTCTGGTTTGCTGTTTCGCCCAAGTTTTCCCACAACATTTAACCTTGGGCCATGACCACAAGTAGCAATCCAGTTTCGTCACGGATTAGTTGCCTTGGCCCTGGCACATACAATGCATTCGGCTTTTTACACAGAGCACAACATCAAGCAGACCTGTATGTGGACCCAAGGCTATCAGAGCCGCTGCTGCGGCATGATCACTCTGGCATGCCTGCAACAGCACCGCAGAAAAGCAAATTGTGGCACCATCAAGATCCATAAAGGACCAAGACATACTTTGTGACATGCTGCATGTGACAAGCTGCATGTGACATGCCATGAAAATAGACTACTCAGCGACTTTTCAAACAGTTTTGACTGTGTAGAAATGCAAGCGCCGCAACGAACCTTGTGGAGGAGGGTTTCACCAGCGGCCATTCTATGTGAAGATTCAGCTTCAAAACGCATCACTGTCTCCTCTGGTTTTTGCCTTCGCAGAGAAATGCGCCCGAAATCCAGTCCGCGCGATAACTCGTCATGGAAAGCGCTTTGGCAACAGAGCAGCAAGCGTAAGAATGAGTTATGTTGCGTTTCTTGCCTTGCAAGACTAGTTTCTGTGCACGAAAAAAATGTGTCTTTTCTAGCCCTATTGTGTCATGGCGTGGTGTGTTTGTGTTGGTTTTACGTTGTTCTTGCATTGTGCTTTGTCTTAAGCTTTGTGTTGAAATCTGTCCTCTGTTCCGCCCAGTGGTGAGTTCCAAAACCCGAGTATGAGATTCTCCCAGCCCCCGCCTTTTCTTCAGAGGCTGCTCAGCGAGAAACTCGTTTGCGGTCACTTTTTGCTGCCCTTGTTCACGCAACTGGTCCTGTCATTGAAGTCCAAGAGCAACTAAACCAATTCTCATGTTCTATGTGGGTAGCTTGACACTGACAAACACCAATTCATTTCAACCAGAGTAAAGGCAACCACCATACTTGAGGCCAAGGGGTAAGCGACGAAAGCTGGCTGGGAGGGCAAAAGGACAAGGAGGAAGGTGAGTGAATGAGCGGAATGTGAGGAATTGGGAGATACAAAGTTGAGAGTAAGTCTGATTGATGCTGCTGATGTTGATGCTGCTGATGTTGATGCTGCTGGTGCTGATGATGCTGACGGCAACGATGACGACCATGTCCCCCGGCAAAACTGCCTGTGAAGAAGACAGGCGGGAGGGGGGAGGGGATGTAGTTTACTGTGAAGTTTCATGTAATTGGCAGCCCCAGCCCCTGCCAATACCTTGCTAGCGCAGGAAGGACTTCAGCTAGCAGAAGCTAGATTTCATGAACTGCGAAGAATTACCGCCTTTATTCCTCCTTTGCTACCTCTTGCTCAGGGTTCCGAAACTCACTACCCCAAGATCTGCAATCTGGATTCCGACTCCTCCTGTCTTTGAGTATTTTTCTGCAAGCATTGCTCGCAATCTGCGGCTTCTTCCGGTTCTGCTACGGCTGCTTGTACCGTGTCCGCCTTGACCTTCAGTGACAGGAATGACGTAGGTGAATGGAATTTCCAGGGTCACACTGAAACCGACAGTCGCAATATGTCAAAATTTCTTCGACTGCGGGAAACATCTCCAGAGCAAACAGTGACAAACTTGCAATACATCAGAGTCCTCCACCTCGGCTGGAGCAGTGTGTGTTTCACTGCACTGGTAAGGCTCATCGACGGCCAAATGCACCGGAGGGTCTTGTGTTTTTTTCTCCTCCCAGGTTGTTCAAGAAAGTGTTTGGCAAACATCCCAACTTCAAGCTAGAAGTTACAGTTGCAAACGTCCCGAATGATTCTATGAACGCACCTGCATGTGCAATGGATGAGATTGTCAAATCAAATGACACCCATGCTGGCACTTCACTGTTTCCAATGTCCAACTTGATGCTGCAAATTGGTTCTGTCACGACAATGGTTCTGCCATAAAACCAGGGCACCACCTTTGACACCAAACGTATTGAGAGCTTGTCTTGATCCACCCAAACTTTCTGGAAACATACGCTAAAACCACTGCCCTTCATAATATGCAAACTAACTGACTAACACAGAATGTCTGGGATTGCCAACTACCTGGCAAAGTTGTGCGGAAAACTATCTTGAAACTACACTTCGGTCCCTGGCGCTCACACAGCCACAATGGAATTCATGAAACGAAAAAATACCCCGACAAGAGACCCCAAAGAGTGTAGGTGGCAGGAAATTAATGTACTAGAGACCAGCAACAGAAGATACCGAACAGGAACAAATGAGGTTAGACATTATCACAATTGCAGCAGCAGGACCTTCCAGGTAGATCTACACTCTACACAAAGGAGCTCACAAGATCTTCATACAAGAACTTCCTATAGGCATCCCAGACGAACTTTCATACAAGCACCAACGCAGAGGATCATCAAGATCTTAATGCAAGGACCTCTCGAGAAGGATTTCAACAGGATACAAGATCTCCACAAGATCTTCTCAAGGACCTGCACCAGATCATGTACGGACACCAAAAGGATTTAAGCAGGACATTTTCAAGAGTTTCTCACAAGGACCTGTACAAGATCATGCAAAGGCCTCTGGCAGCATTTCACTAGCTTCGCACAAGGATTTGTAAAAAGGGCCTTGGAGCAAGAGAATCTCACAAGATCGTCATAAAAGGGCCTGCTGCTGCTGTGGCGGGATCCCACCAGATCTTGGTACAAGAACCTCCCAAGAGCCTACCACAAGAGCTTTCATACAAGCACCTCTAAGACATGGTATCTGCAAGCTCCTCACGCAAGGGCCCCTCAGAAAGGATCTCACCAGGATCTCCACAAGATCTTCCGTTAAGGACCTGTACAGGATCATGCAAGGACCTCTTAGAAAGGAATTTAGAAGGATCTCCTCAAAAGCTCGTTCACGCAAGAATTTAGAATGAACATAGACATCTCACAAGAGCAATTTTACGCAAGAATTTACAGGAAAAATGCCGTGCCGCAAGATCTGGAAAAAGTCGCGGCGCAGACTTCGCGCAAGCCTGCGCAACCGATATGCACATGGACGCCCCGGAAAAGTCATTTTATGTGAGGATTTACAGGCAAAAATGGCGCGCCCCAAGATCGCGACGCACAGTTTGTGCAAGCCTGCGTAGTCAAAACGCACATGGACATGTCACAAGAATCATTTTACGCGAGAATTTACAGGAAAAATGCCGCACCCCAAGATTGCGACGCACAGTTTGTGCGAGCCTGCGCAATCGAAACGCACATATCGACATGTCACAAGAGCCATTTCGTGCGAGAATTTCAAAGAAAATTTCCGCCCCCCAAGGTTGCGATGCACAAGATTGTGCGGGCCTGCGGCCTGCGCTGTCGAAACGCACGTGGACATGTCACAGGGGCAATTTTATGCGAGAATTTACAGGAAAAGTGCCGCGCCCCAAGATCGCGACGCACAGTATGTGCGAGCGTGCTCAATCGAACTGCAGATGGGCATCTTTAAAGAGCCATTCTATGCGAGAATTTACCGGAAACATGCCGCCCCAGAAGTTAGGCGCAGGTTTTGTGCGAGAGGGGCGTCTCGCAAGAGCCATTCTATGCGAGAACTTACAGGAATGCCGCACCCTAGAAGCCATTCTATGCAAGAATTTATTATAGGAAAACGCTGCGCCCCAGAAGTGCGCAGTCGACATGCACATGGGCATCTCAGGAAAGCTATTTTATGCGAGAATTTACAGGAAAAAAACTGGGGAGGTGGAGCACCCGGCCTTAACTTCTACCGCAAGAACCCTTCAGTGTGGACACACTGCTTGGGGAAAAAAGCTTGTGAATCTGTGTGCTTGCCCTTGTTAGACGTTTTACGCAGCTCTCAGCCACCTTTTTTGTCGAGGTCTACAAAGTATTGCGCCTGCCACGAAAAATGAGCCCGATGCATTCGAAGTGTCGCGCCTGCCACACGGAATCATCGTCGCGTCCCAAATCAAATTCGACCGCGTCACAAATCGAGATTTTCGACCCTTGCAAAACGTCATCCATTCACCAAAAACTGCGCCCGCTGCGAAAAATTGCATCCAAAAGCACCTCTGATTGTGACTCACGCCTGCCAACGTTTTAGCAACGTCCGCAAAGGGCCACGCCTGCCACACGGATGAAAAAGTGCACAATGTCCTGCACCTGTCAACGCAAAACGACGTTTTAGACCTCAACATGTCCCGGATGTTCCATGCCTGGCACACGAAATGCACATAGGCTCAAAAAACGAGCATGGTGCGCTAGTAAAACGGTACCTTCGGAAGAGGGATCTCCGCGACACCCGGTTCCTGCGAGCTTCCGCAATCGAAATACACATGGACATCTTACAAGGGAACTTTGATGCTGTAAGGGTTACCAAATTTGCCGTACACGGATGACACCACCTCGACTGAAAACCGCGCCTTAAGACCTAAAGTAAGAACCCCTCAGTCTGGCCACACTGTCTGAGGAAAAAATCAAATCAAATAATTATACTTTCTTCGAGTGGCCCACACCCTGAAACAGTATTCTGATGTAGTTTCTGACATACCATCCAGAAGTACTTATTGCATATTTATTTTGACTTTATATCCGACATTCTTTCTAGCATATGCTTTGGCATTCTATCTGGCATTCTACTTGGCATGTATTCTGACGTTTTTTGTGGCATCCTATCTGGCATCCATTCTGAAATTCTATCTGGCATCTTTTCAGACCTTCTTTCTGGCATTTTCTATGGCGTCTGGCTGACATCCGGCAATGCCCACTGAGACATCTGGAGCTTGCGGTTGAGGTCAGGCAGCGCCTAGTGAGATCCGGAGCTCGCGGTTAAGGTCCGGCGGTGTCCACTGAGCTTCCTGGAGCTCGCAGTTGAGGTCGGCCACCTTGCACTGAGATCTGGAGCTCTCGGTTGAGGTCCACCAGTGGTCCAGCAGTGCCAACTAAGCTCTGGAGCTCACAGTTGAGCTTCTGCAGTGCCCACTGAGATTTGGCGCTCGCAGACTGAGATCTGGAGAAAGAGGAGAAGGACGAGGAGGAGAAAGCAACTCTGAGAAAATCTAAGGAGACCCTCACCTGGCAGGTGAGGAAAAATGAAAACGCTAGCAACAACTTCACCAAATATCAAATAACTGCAGCACTGCATCCATCCATTTCCACCCCTTCCCACCTTCCTACATTCCTACATTCCTCCACCTACCTCTTATTAGCGTTACAAGACTTCACTACTAGTACCAGAAAGTCCCAACATCTGCAATCTGGATTCCGACTCCTCCTGTCTTTGCGTCTCTTTCTGCAAGCATTGCTCGCAATCTGCAGCTTCTTCCGGTTCTGCTACAGCTGCTTGTACCGTGTCCGCCTTGACCTTCAGTGACAGGAATGACGTAGGTGAATTGAATTTCCAGGGTCACACTGAAACCCACAGTCCCAATATGTCACAATATCTTCGACTGCAGGAAACACTAGCGAACAACCTGCAGAGCAAACAGTGACAAACCTGAAATACATCAGTCCTCCACCTCGGCTGGAGCAGTATGTGCTTCACTGCTCTGGTAGGGCTCATTGACAGCCAAATGCTCCAGACAGTCTTGTGCTTCTTTCTCCTCCCAGGTTGTTCAAGTGCTTCGCAAACATCCCAACTTAAAACCAGAGTTGCAAACAAACCAAATGATTCTGTGAAGGCACCTTCATTTGCAATGGATCAGACTGTCAAATCAAATGACACCCATTCCCCCGGTTGCCGTTTTCAATGTCCAACTTGGTGTGTTCTTTGAAAATTGGTTTTGTCACGGCAATGGTTCTGTCGGTAAACACCAGTCCTCCACCTCGGCTGGAGCAGTATGTGCTTCACTGCACTGGTAATGCTCATCGACGGCCAAATGCGCCGGAGGGTCTTGTGTTTCTTTCTCCTCCCAGGTTGTTCAAGCGCTTGGCAAACATACCAACTTCAAGCTAGAAGTGGCAGACGACAGGACAGTTGCTAACATCCCAAATGATTCTGTGAAGGCACCTTCATTGGCAATGGATAGAACTATCAAATCAAATGCTACTCATTCTCATACTTCACTGTTTCCAATGTCCAACTTGATGCTGCAAATTATTGGTTCTGTCACGACCATGGTTCTGCCATAAAAACCAGAGCACCACCTTTAGCACCAAACGCATTGGGAGCCTATCTTGATCCACTCACTACACTTTCTGGAAGCAGACACCGAAACCATTGGCCCTCAAGCAGCTTCGCACACCAAGTACGCGCAAATTGACTAATACACAAAGTGGCTGGGATCGCCAACTACCTGGCAAAGTTGCACCGAAAACTATCTTGAAACTGGGCTACACTTTGATCCTGGTACACACCGTCATAGTGGAAATTCATCAAAATGGATAAAAATAGCAATTCAATGCAATTCAGGCAATTCACGTCAATCCAGGTAGCCCTTGGTGCGTACGTCTATATCTGTT